GTCTTCATTTCCAATTTATCCTGGATATTAGCTAGTTGCTATCCAGGAAATAGTATCTGCAGGCCAAAACCCAGCTTTTGCTTGTTTATTCATATTTAGATTATTTTTAATCTGCTTTCGGCCATCCTGATTTTCAAGACATGGTACAGTTACAATGCCAGTAATACAAATATCATAAAGCACCAATAAAGTAGAAACAGTAAAAGAAAATAACATAAGATCATACCTAGTGTTTAAGTAAAAAAAACCCTACAAAACATAACAAACTGTATATTAAAAGAGCCAAGGGTTATTGCACTGTGTTAGAATCTGATTCCAACATCCAGAAGCTATCATCAAAATGGCTTATTCAGCAGTGGCTGAATTACAGAAGGGTTTTCATCTCTAGCTCTTAAGGGTTACCAGGAACATACAGAGCAGGGGTTCCCAACCTGGGGTGCCCGTACCCCCAAGGGGTGCAAGATGGTATTTCAGGGGGTGTGACAATTTTATGCACTGAGTTAAAAGCTTATTTTTTTAAGTTCAGCTTGTTCAGCTGCATTAGAAATTAGACTTCTTCATCTTCAAATGTGATATTACTATTGTGTGTGTGTGTGGGGGGAACATTAATCAAACATTTCCTAGGGGCATGGGGCATAGAAAAGGTTGGGAACCACTGGTTTAGAGGAAAGTACTGTCTCAATTCTCCTGATTGTGAACAGTGGCATCTTGAATGTAGCTTAAACATACATCTTCAATTAGCAAAACTCATTAAAAAATCTTAGGTGTGTTCTGCAACTAACCTGGCTGCCACATGGTTAGATGAATTGTAATTTCCATCAGAGGCAGCCAGTGCAGTAGCCGATAGAAAAGGAAATTAGGATCTGTATTCTGATTCCTCTTTTCCTGGAAGGGGCAAAGTTAGCACCTAAAGTTGATAAAATATACTCTTGGTCACAACCACAGCTTGAGCATGCAAGAGGCATCCGGTATCCCAGAGAACTCCTAACTGAAGAGTATTTTGTGGAGAGTATGACCCCTAACAGAGGTAAGGTTATTCCACATTTCACAGGAATTAGGAATGCCCATCATGGGCAACCCTACTGATCTGATTGGAGATTCTATATATTACCCTGATCCAATTCATTACCAACTTCAGATGTTTAGCCTGGTAAAGAAATTGCATCACTCAATTTAGATTGCTTAATCTGGGTTTTTTTTCCTAATTAGGAATTCTTAATTATGAGATCTGGGAGAAAAATAAAACAATGGAAAAACACTGTCAGTTTAGGTAGAGAACTGGATTGATAACTATTTCTCTATCTTGGAAAAGCGATCCTTTTTTTGCAGGGGTAGGGGGCCCCATTCACCAAGAGCAGCATGAGATGGATCATAACCAAAATGGTCAGGGCCAACCTTTTTTTTTAATTGACATCCTACAAGCCACCAGGAAAAAGAAAATAATGCTTGCCACAGTTCTGAACTAACCACTTGCAAAAGGCTTTTGAAATTAGGTACAGGTAGGTGTAAAATTAGAAGAAACAGATGCAGGTTCCCCAAGACAGTTTTCTTGTTTATATCCATTTGGCTCCCTGCTCTCTGTTAGAAACAAAGATCTCCTCCCTCAGAACACCTAGTTCATCAACCTTTCCCCCCACCAGGTTCTGAAGACACGACTGGCCCTCCGCAAGACAGGCCAGTACTCAGGTGTGGCAGACTGTGCCAGACAGATCCTGCAAAAGGAAGGAATCCCTGCCTTTTACAAGGGCTACCTGCCAAATATGTTGGGCATAATCCCCTACGCTGGTATTGACCTGGCAGTTTATGAGGTCAGTAGCTGGGTGTGGGCTCAAAGAATGAGGGAGGTATCCAAGGAAGAGGCTAGGCTTACATGCTCTTTCCCTTGGAACACTTTATGAGGATCAGCTGCTCATCCTTGGGAGAACTCCTGTTCACGGGTAAAAGGGGATTCCCATCAGTGGCTTCCCTCCCTTTTCTACAGTGTCCTTTGTGCTCGGCTCTGGATGCCCAGATCACCTTACCCCATCTCACATTTCTCACTGCAGACTCTGAAGAACACCTGGTTACAGAAGTACAGTAAGAACACTGCTGACCCAGGAGTTCTGGTCCTCTTGGGCTGCGGCACCATCTCCAGTACTTGTGGCCAAATTGCCAGCTATCCCTTAGCCCTGGTGCGAACCCGGATGCAGGCACAAGGTAAGAAAGGAGCACCCTCCGTGGGTCTCTCTAAGGAAAAGATTGACAGTTACTATGGGTGGGATAACTATTACAGGAAGGCAAATTAAGCATGAAATCTTAGTATCAGAAGAGTGGACATAGGGGAGAGCAGTGGGAAAGAAATGGAGAAAGAAAATGAGGTACAGGAAAGGTAAATAAAATCTTCATCCTGGGCCTCATAATCAGCCTTAAAATTAACAGGTCTCCAAATCTCACATGCATGTTAATGATTGTCTGCTCCTCCAGAAAAAAGGAATTATTTTTCAAGATGAGGGGCCAAAACAAGTGAAAGGCAGGCTATTTTCTCTGTTGTTTCAGGTTTTACCATTTACTATACAGACAATGAGGATTCCCTCTGAGAATCTAGACACAGCTACTAGATTCTGTCCCAATTCCACAAGATTATCTCTAGGCCCTGTTCTAGTTCTGGTGTACTTCAAACCTTGATCTGCCAGTCCTCCTCCCTCTGCACAAACTCTAACGCTCTGTCTCATGGGTTTGAGTCTGAGCCATGTAGGACCTGATGACCCTATTCAGACAACATTCTCTAAACCTCATGTGCCTTATCGGGTGTATTGTGACAGGCATCTTGCTAACCTTTCCTCTCTCTCTTTTCACTGTCTCTGTGCAGCATCAATTGAGGGTGCACCACAGCTAACCATGCTGGGTCTCTTTAGACACATCCTTTCCCGGGAAGGGGTACTGGGCCTCTACCGTGGCATCGCCCCCAATTTCATGAAGGTTATTCCTGCTGTCAGTATCAGCTACGTCGTGTATGAGAACATGAAGCAGGCTCTGGGGGTAACATCCAGATGAAGGAGAGCCCTGCATCACCAAAGTGCAGGGGACCTACCTCTCAAGAAGGGTGTTTGAAAGGCAGCAATAGGTGGGGATATACCTCTTCTGCTCCAAATGCTGTGAAATGGAGAGCTAGAGTGTGTTTGGAGTAATTGGGTCCAGGCCATCTTCACCAAAACCTTGTGGCCTCTCGGAAGTAGATTTTTTTTCTCGCCCACATTCTGGAATTTGCAGAAATGGTCTCATCAAACAGACTTGTTTCTCACCAACCTGCTGCTCTTGCATATGTATCTTCTCCCCAACCGCTGAACACGAGAACCATGACACTCTACCAGCCATGTCATAATCCAGCGGAAAAGCAGTTTTAAGTTGACAGTGATTGCTGTGGATATGTTGCCAGATTTCAAGCAACTGCTGGTGAAATGGATTGACTTTTGATAAATAGCCCTACCAACTCGTTAGCAGTTTCCAGTACCAGAGAAAATACATTCAGAGACAATTCATTGGTGGCACTAGAATATCTGTGATTATCCCCTGGAGTCCACCGATTGCTTCTGCAGACGTTCAGCAACATGAGTATCTGAGTTTTTGAGGACTTTGGCCAATAGATTCCATTCTTCCTTTAGCATTTCTATTTGCAACACTGAATTCCCTTTGAGTCCTCTTTCATTCCTCCTCCTAGAACCTGTAGGGGTGCTGGAGCCCCAGGCATTTGCATTTTAGCCCAGACCCACTTTACTTGTTTCTTTACTATGGAAACTGTTTGTATATTTTGCACATTGACTGTTTTTAACTTATAAGACTAGTTTGCTATCTACTCCTGGACCTCTGTGGCTGAATTGCCGCCTCTCCCATTTTATCCCCATTCCCTTTCCTTCTATTCTGAGGGAGCAGAGAATGCTGAAAGGGCTACTATTTTGTGGTAATCATCAAAGCACTTGGCTGAGATCCCTTAATATGGTGTGTACACGTTTCTGCTCATTTTGAGATATTTGCACTAGCTATACTGGTCGCTTAAAAATGCGATAATTCAGATTCTCGAAGCCATGCATCCAGGATTTCGTTGGGCTCTGTTTTGTGTTGCTCTCCTCTTTTATTTATGACTGGCTGAATTACATTGCAGTTGGGCATTCATTTTTTCCTTTTTGTTTGGAAAGCTGGAAAAGGCAGGATAGGGGCTGTAGAGTATGACCTATTCAGTCCACAGATCCTCTTCTCAACAAAACTCTGCCTCTGCCAGTCTCTCACTAAATGTCCCACAGGGTCTTCCCATTCCAAATGGGAAACCTGGTGCCCATCTAGGACAGAAGAAGAGTCCTACTGGAGAAGGCCATGGAATCCAGCATTCTCTGTCACGTGGTGGCCAAATGTCAAGCCTCACATAGCTAGCAAAACCAAGTAAGGAAGAACAACATGGATTTCAGGAATATATCTTTAATGCTGTTCTGGGTTGGATACAGAATCTTGAAAGCTGTTAGGTTTTCAAAGAGACTCTACCTTACTTTCCTACATCTCTCGCATGTGGACTGTGGGTTGCCTCTTCTCAAATAAAACCTGATTTCTTGTCTCCTGCTTCTGAGCAATCTCTCATACCAACCCATTGCATTTGGGAGGATCCCAGCCATGAATGGGAGGGTAACAGACCTATTCCACTGTCACTTTTGAAGAGCTGCTGTTGCCTTTTCCAATCTGATGTCCTCCAGAAATGTTGGTTCCCCTTATTTCCAGCCAAAGGTGTTGAGGAAAGCTGTAATAATGGATACACTAAATGTCATAACTTCACTTGTAAAAGACCACCTGTGACATTCAGAATTTAAATCATATCCTTGGAAGAAGAATACCTGAGTGTCTGTCAAGATTCTAGCTAAACTAGAAGTAGGTTGATGCAGGTGGGAGGGGAAGGACCTGCAAGAAACGGATGCTCAAAAATGGGAGAGGTTTTATGTTTTTGTTAGAGTGCTCCTTCAGTTTTAGTTAATCTGCTAGAAGTAATCAGGATAGGCACTCCCATTCGAGAAAGGTAACTCATTCAATAGATAGAACTTCTTCCAAGTAAGGGAGGTCTTCTGGTTTCTTTGGAAAGCTCTGATAAGATGCAGTTTCTTCAAATGTGGTGCCAAGGACAATGGATGCTGAATTTTGCCCCACTATAGCGCTTTTAACGGGATGCCCTTTGCAGTCCACCTTGCCTATAAGAGAGTGAATTTTGATCATGTATGTGAGTTTGCAGTTCCATAAGATCTACCTCATTTGGTTATTAAATGTCTGAGTGAGAAACCAGGATGGGGATGATACAAAACTCCAGGCAGAAAGTAAGGTGAGGAATGATGGAAGAATAGAGAAAGATGTAATGCCTTGCACAATAGGATCGTGTCCTAAGCTGCTTTCACCTGGAAAATGTTAAAATTGTTTTCATTGGAAATATATTTATGAGTTTATTAAAATAAGGGTGGGATCCTATACCCATTTATTTAGCATTCATGTCATGAACTAAATAGGATTTACTTCTGAGTGGACATGTCCAGAATTGTATTTGCTTTGGTGTATTGATTTGGTAGGTAGGGCAGGCAAGGGTTGGCATTCCCCAACATTTTTTTAGAGTATTTGGGCTGGTAGCTCTGTCCCTTCCTGCACCCATTTTACAGGAATGATTCAGTAAGGACAAGGGGCAGGATTGCTGAGTTCCATCTTGGAAGTGCCTCCTGTATCCTTTTGCTTTGCCACCAGTGGCTATTTCTGCCACCCATTCCACGTACCTATATTTTGTCCCCTTCCTGCTGGATGTAGGGAAGAAGGTTCTCAGTCGTGCTGCACAAAAGGTGAAAGAAAAGGTAGAAGGTGAAAGGACGAGAGAAAAAGCAAGTGGGAAAGCTGCCATTGTCTCATCTCCCCATCCAGTTGCACACGTATTCAAGGGAATCTCTGGTTTGCATGAGGTTAATTGTATATGACATATTCCAAGATATGGACAGGTGCATATCCGGAGAATCCAAGAATGGAAGCAACAGGCTAGATCAGATGATCTTCAGATGCTTCCCTGCCAGCAATTGTACCCAAGATGTATTAGCAGCAATCCGTGTGCACTGCTTAAAAAAACTGATCATCTATGACAGCTCACCATGATAGCTGTTCAGTATCTTCAGGATCAGAAATGTCGTTCCTCTAAATACTGTTTGCTGGATGAACAAAGTGGGAAAGGGATACTGTGCTCAAAACGTACGTAAGGGTTTTCCAGAGGGATTGGTTGATCACTGTAGGAAACAAGATCTTCAGTTAAACAAAGGTTTTTCGTTTGATCCAGGAGGTATCTTCTTAATGTTTAAAATAACTTTAGAACAGATAATTCAGTAGTAGTTTTGAACTTCTGACTGGCTGTCTGCTGACTCTTTGAGATGCCATTTGGACTGACCATCTCAAAGATCATTGGATAAATGATCTTTGATCTCTAATCTAAATTTGCTCCCAAAAACTAGATACCTAGTTTGCACTTCCACACAGAACCAAGTGTGAACTCAGGCTTCAACCAAGTGTCTTGTTTTGGAGGACTGAACACACTCTAATATCTGACTTATGACTATGGCATTCATCTTGCCTGAATCTAACTCCAGTGAGATATTTCTCTATGTCTGTGACTGCTCCTGATGCATTTTGTGTTAAATTTTCAAAGAGAAAAATAAAACAAAATACATTTTCTAAACTTTGTTTCTTGGCTTGATATCTCTGAAATGAATTCAGAAGCAACATACAAACACTTCAAAAGCCATGATATCTGTTTTGCTACTGTTTTCTAACATAGGCTTAACACGCCTATTTTTGGTTTTTGTTGGAAAAAAATATATATACTTAAAAGGGGGGAGTTGTATGATCATGGGGGTTTCAGGGATCACAGAAAAATGGCTGAGGCTTCATGTAGCCTATGGTTATCCCATTTCTGTTTTAGAAGATAATTGTTACTCCAATAAAGGACTAAAGATGGAGTACCTTTGTGGAAAGCATTATTAAAGATAAAATTAATGCCATACAGAGTATCATATCTTGCTGAAAAGGAATCAAGAAGGTTATACAAAATGTCTGCATCTCACTAACATTTTAGAGTTTTTTAACAGTTGGCCACAAATATATCCACTACAATTTTCAAAAGACCTTTGACAAAGTCTCTCACCAAAGGTGCTTGAGCAAACTTAAAGGCCATAGGATAAGAATTGTTTTATAAATTGAAAGCTGGTTAAAGAACAGAAAGCAAAGTAGGAATGATTTCACATTTAATGGCATGCAAATAGTAGGATGCCCCAAAGATCCACTTTTTTTGTTTGTTTGCCTTGTGCCTTCAAGTCACTTTTGACTCTTAGCAACTACATGGACTAGTCCTTGAAGTTTCCTTGGCAAGATTTCAGAAGTGCTTTGCTCTTGTCTCCTTCCCAGGGCTGAGAGAGAGTGACTGGGCCAAAGGTCATCCAGCTGGCTTCATGCCTAAGGTGGGACTAGAACTTACCGTCTCCTGGTTTCTAGCCTGGTGCCTTCACCACTGCACCAAACTGGCTCTCAAAGATTCACATTAAGATGAATGTATTTTAACTAGTTAATAAATGCTTTGAAGTTAGAGATGAGTGCTGAAAAAAATAAATTTGCTGATGGCATAAAATGATTTTAGAATGGTAAGAAAACAGATGAAACAAATGACATGTTCACACAAAGTGAATGGATATTAAAATGGCACGAATGGAAGCAAGTATGAAATGATGCATACTGGGGCAAAAATTATGATCACACGTGCTGATCTCATTTGACAATGGCCAATTAGTAATGGGGTTTTATATTTAGTTGGCTTTTCACATCATACTAAGCTGCTAGAATGTTACTGAGTTTGATTTTAAATTAATGTGATTTGTGAGCCCATCCTTGGGATTTATGAATTGTAGTTTTATGATTTAGTGTTGTGTAAACCAGGTCACTATGGCTCAGAGTGCTGTGCAAATTACAAATTGCATGCTATGAATAATTAGGAAATTAATAAAAAGTAAACTTGCCAATATCATAATTAGGCCTACCAGATCCAGGTTACAGAAATTCAGATAGCCATTAAATGACAGAAGGTTTTCTTTATTTTTTTGCTGTTATCAAGTCATTGTTTGGATTCTTACAGTCCAGGTCAGTACCTCTTCTGTATCATGTGACATGTCATCAATACATTGATTAATTATACTGTTTGACAGTGGAACCTTTTCAATTGCTTGTACTGCATCTGGTCCTAGCATTTTTTCCCACTATTATTTTATATGCTGGCATGATTACTTTCTTACCCAAAGTGTGACTTTTACTTTGCTGTGTAATAAGTTCTGCTCCTAAATAACTTGCTTCTTGGCCTTTTTTACTGACTCTCGTTTTGTTAACAAAAGCTTTACTATGTTCTGTGATTCCAGTAGCCGTTTAAAATAATCAGAACTTTTACTTGTCATATGGCTGTGATTTGTAGGTAAATGTCTTTTTTATTTTGCTGGAGCCATTGCTGCATTTGTGAGTTGTTTGCCACAAATGAGGCACAACAGACTAGGACAACCTGGATCACCAGTCCATGTATAACCCATTGATAAATAGATAGACTTTTTTTGAGTTCATTGGTGCAGGGAAATGCCTGAGAAGATTTAAATTCTTCATTATCATCATTGAACCTATCGGTATTGTCTGTTCTAGAATCCTCTTCTCTCTCATACCTCCTCTTCAGAAATCACAACATTGGACCCTCAGACATGACTGAATAAATGTGTACAAAAATTATTTAAAATAACAATAAAATAACTACAGGAAAACTGCAAGGAAAAAATGCAGGAGGTGGAAACTGCTGTCACAGACTAAGTTGGACAAGTCCATTAATTTCTTGAAAAATGCACTTCTTCCTCTCCTTCCTTCAGTATATTCCTCCCTTCCTGCAATACAGCGTTCACTGTATCAACGGCCTCCCCTATCTCCTGTCAAAAATTAAGAATGGATTCAACGTCCTACAGTACGCTACCAGAGAGCTCAGAAAGAGCTGTAACTAGATTTTTGTTTGGTCTCTGCTCATCACTGCAAGAGCATGTTGCCTGAATTTGAAATAATTTCTTAAATAAATCATGATCTCCCAGGGCAACCCCTAGTGACCTCTCACGGAACCCTGGTTGAGAAACCCTGCTCTAATCATACTGCCTTTACCTGTGGTGCAGCCACCTTTGCAGTAGTGCAATAGTCATTAAACAAATGACTAGTACATAAGGCTCCTTGAAGGGTAACTAAGATAACGAAAGGTCTAGAACAACCTTCCTATAAGGAAATACTGTATTGTTTGGGACATATAGTTTAGGGGGGGAAAGACAAGTTGGGGAACACATGAGAAAAATGCACACAAGTGTGGTGGCAAAATTATGCTACCCCAGAATCCAAGTCACTCTGGAGACTTAAAATACTTGGCTCTTTTGGCAAGACTTTGATAAACAGTGATAGACTAATTGGCACTGTTTTTGTAGATTACATTAAAACTGGTTATTGTAACATTAATGTCTATATTATTATGCCTATATTACATAGATCCTTCAAAGTGCTATATAAACATGAATGAATGAATGTCAGCCAGTGGAGCTAAATAATTAGAGATTCTGAACTAAAGTCCAATATAATATAATATAATAAATAATATAATATTTTGAAGGACTTCATCAGTCCAGAATCTCTAATTACACACACAAACATACCAAATGTTAAAATTAAAACAGTTCCATTATCATACTATCTCTAATTGGGACAGTGTTCTTCAGAGTGAACAGTAATTCTTATAAAAATAAGTACAGAAAATTCACGCTATTCTCAAGGGATAATTATCATGAAAGATCTGGGGCATTGCCCCCCCCAATTAAATTTGTGCTGTCCAAAATTATGTATATCCAACAGACTGCCCTTCATACGATGCAGCTGTTTGATGTTGCTTAGAGCTATGCTACGTCATAGAGAACTATTCCCTCATTTGCTTGTATCTATCAAAGCTGCTTGTTCTCTGTGTTGGTGCAATATGACACTAGATAAGATCCCATTCCATATAAGAGAAGAGATTCTCTTGGAGTTGTGAGCTGCAGAAGCTCAGACCCGTAATGTTAATACTTACGTAGGGTTATGCCTTGTGTACCGTTGGACAGAAATAATGGCTTTTATTAGAGGGAATTCTTAAAAGCACACTATCCCCACTTCAGAAATATACGACGTGCAGTTAAACTTGGAGCTGAAAACAGTAAAATGGGTCTCTATTTTCAAACGTTTCAAAAGTCAACCAACTCTGAGTCTTCATTCGCTTTACTAATTCAGCTCTCTCGAAATTTTACACATATAAGGATGTGGGACCAAGCGCAGCATTTTATCCGAAATAAGTCAGCTCGACTCCCGATGATTTCTTGCGCTTTATCTGCCGATCTATAGCCGGCACCCTTTCGACGCGCACCGGATCTTTTCGCAAAAGGTAAGGCTGGAGTTGGATCGGAAGCCGTCCTCCTGCTGGTACTTCTGGGGGGCAGATTCCACGAACAGCCCTCGCTTCCGCTCTGCAAGGAGCCTCCCAGAAGCTGCGCTGCCTCCCAGAAGCTCAGCCTGCAACTTCCACCGTCTACGGGGATCGCTCCTAAGGAAGGGGCGCGTCCTCTGCTTCCCACAACCTGCTTCACCTGAGGTTTTCGAAGGAAAGCCTTCCTATGACGCGTTTGGCCGAGCGGCACGCCAATCACAAGACGCCCCACCACCTCACTGAGCTCTCGACCAATGGATTTAGACCCCCGGGAAATAAAGCGGAAGCGTACCACTCTGCCCTCCTCACTCGATGGTTTCTACCTGTGGGAAAATCGTGGCCGGCTCCGCGTTCTCGCCATAATCGTCGGAGGGTCGAAATGCGCTCTTCGGTTCTTCAACGGCCTGCCACAGGACCTTTCAGTTGCTGCTGAGGAGTCTCTTGAGAGTCGCCGAACAGGAGTGGTTGGCTTTTCCATCAATCGCACTTCAATCCCGCCTTTCAAACTTTAATCGGCGAGCGGGATTCCACCCAGCCGCAAGATAGAATGGAACTGCCGGATTGGTTGCCTCGATTCGATAGCAATGACGTATTCGCGGTTTTTCCAATCGCAGAATCGGGATTGAGCTATCTTCCTACTCCGGTTGGTTCAGCATGGACCACTTATTCTGCCCCTATCATTCTCCAATTGGTATAGGCCCTGCAGGAGCCGCCTTCCTCTTTACCATTCGAGTAGCCTTCTGACACTCAAACTGTAGGTTCCGCCTCTCGTCGCTTCTGATAGATCGGGCGGCCAGGCCGCCTGTTTCCCTTTATATTGAGTGGCTTTTCTGCGCTGTCACTCATCCCGATCCCGCGGATGACTGGCTACCAAGGAGGCGGGATAATGGCATGGAGTCCCGCCTCTTGTGCTCCCGGCGTGCAGTGCGGGCGTGCGTGTGCGTGTGAAGGGGGGAGAGCGTTCGGCCTGGTTCCCGCGTTGAGCCCTCGTTGCCGCCGCGTTCATCTCTGCCGCCATGTCGGACTATACCACCGGCGGTCCTCCACCACCTTCTGCTGGGCCGCCGGGGGCGGGTGGAGGAACCGGGGCTGCTGGACCTCCAAATCAAGCCGGAGGAGGCAGTTCTGTCGGAGCCGGACAGGCTGGGGGAGCGGCGGGTCCCGGACCCGGCGGGATCCGTAAGGACGCCTTCGCCGATGCGGTACAGCGCGCCCGGCAGGTGAGGAGCTGAAGTGGATGGGAAGTGGAGACCCGATCGCGCGGGAGGAGGAGGAGAAGAAGGAGGGCAATTGAGGGCAAGGAGCATTGCATCCCTCCCCGGCTGCCCCGGAAAAGGCCTTGTGCTGTGTGGAAGCTGGAGATCGGCGGCTCTGTGTGGGCCGTAGGCTGAGGTAGTCGACTCCTGAGGTGACCAGAGTTCTGGACTGTGCC